TTTGTCCAATTTCTCACTCAGTTCATGAACTGTTTTCTTAATTTTGTTAAATTGTCGTATTCTCTTTCAACTCAAGAATTTAATATTATCATTTTGAATTATTTTTCATGCATTTCATATTCTTTGGATTATTTTACTGAAGATATATTGTGGTACAACCAGGTTTGGACACCAGGTTTGAGGGTGCCAGGTTTCCTTGCTTTTTCACGATTCTTCTGTCTCTGTGTTGGTATCTGTGCATCTAATGGACAACTGCTTTTCCCCATTTTAAAGAGCAGCTTTCATAGGCAGAGGTCTGTTGATGTGTCCTAGGGTGCTGATTGGAAATGGTGTGTTGGCTTTGGTTCAGGATGGAGTCAGGAGTGTGGTCGCCATGCAGATTCTTCAGCTGGAATCCTCACCTGCGATATCTGTGATTATCTTATCTGGTAATGCAGGAACCCATGATTGCGATGGCATGGTTTTTCTGGAACTGGGGGCATCAGACTTGTTTCTGGCCAGTCACATGCTGATGTAGCAGGCCAGAAGGTTGTAGGATAGTCTCTCGTGAATGTCAGGGTTACTGCTGGGCTGGATGTCAGGCCAGGGATAGATACATGTGGGACTGGAGGCTGTGCATGACTGGTGATGTAGGGTTGAGCTATGGATAGAGTGCCTACAAGCCAGCTATTGGACTAAGGGCAGGCAACTGTGGCCAAGTGGCTGTGCAGAATCCTCCTGTGGTAAGTACAGGCAGACAACCTCTGGGCCAGATGTTAACGCTTGGAGCAAGTTCATGCAGGCCCACTGGCTGTATGCTATTCTCTCCCTTGGGCCTAGGTCACCTTCAGGCCAGCTACTGAGCCAGGGACAAGTGTACAGTAGCCTGGTGGCTGCATGAGGCTGCCCTGCCATGCAGGCCTACCTCCTTCCCTGGGTAATAGCGAGCCTTGTGGGTTTAGGTATCAGGGTCCCAGTAGTGCCTTTGAGCCTAGGCTCCAAGTAGCCCCAGTACTAGTACTAGAGGCACTTGTGTGAACTTTGTGGAATGAAGGCAATGCCTCTGGGATACAGGGTGGCTACTGGCCTCCAAGTAAGAATGCACTCCAGATATGGGCTCGGTTTCACAGTTGCGCCATTCCTCAGCTGCTTGGGTCGCAGGGGCAAGGGGTGTCAAAGGGGTTCCTGCTCTGGGGGAATGCAGCCACATGTGCTTTCAGCAACTGTTTATGCTGGACTTGGGGCCTGTGAGGACTGGGGTACTCTCCTGCAGCAGTGACTGCTGGCATCTGTGGTGGCGCTGAGGACTGATAATTCCCAGGTTACCTTCTTCCTGTAAGAAGAGGAACCCCCTGGCTCTGATTCGATCCTGGCAGGGCAGATAGTATGGCAGAGGCAGGATGCTTTGCTCTCCTCCCTATGGAGCAATTCTTGACTCTATGCTCCATGGGGACTTTGCTGTTCCCCGGTGTTCTCCAGTCCATTTCCTCAGTCACTCCAGACAAAATAAACGTACTTGTTGTTTTGGTTGCTTTTTCTGAGGGGGATGAGTGCCAGGCAACTCTAGTCAGCCATCTGCTGACATCACTTCCCATCAGTCTTTTTAATTTTAGCTACTGTGGTGCATGAGAGTTCTAATGTGTTCTTCAATGAGATGAACAGAATAAAACTTTTGATCAAGTTTGCACCACCCAGATCGCCACCACATCCACAATCATGATACCAAAAATGGAATCACATCCACAATTATGATACCCAAAATGGAATCGTATCCAAAGTACAAATTAAGGAACTCTATGTTTCTAATAAAGAGGCTACCACTGCTTGTCAGACATGTGACTCCTATCAAAAGTTGACCTGTGTATCTTGCAGTAAGGGAGCTCACGTTGCATGGGATGTGACTCCTGCCACATGGACAGACTGACTACACTGAACAGTTGATCCCTCTTCCTGAGCATATCAGTGGTACCTCACTGTTGCTGATACTTTTCCAAGTTACACTGTTGCTGTTCATCAGTCACTGACAGCCATAACCTTGTGGCCCTTAAAACTAATCGATGTCATATTTCTTACTTCTCCAGACCATCTATAATCTGACATAAGGCACCTTCTATCATAAAAGCCACTCAAAAATGGGATGATGGTTATTCGATAGCCCTTCCATGCTCCTTAGCATCCACAAGTATCTGGTATATTGAGGACTAAAATCCTCCTCAAATATCAATTTTAAAAGATTTCTAAATCTGCCTCCCTCATCCACTCCTGTTTCATGCACCATCTTTAGGCAGTTCCCCTTCGCAGCTGCTTCCTCAGTAATGATAAGGATTTTTTTAAAAAGGAGATATACTGAGCTACTTTAAAAATTCAGAATTTCACCCTGACCATTCCTGGACATGATCCTTCTTTCTTTCCCCAATGGCAACTCCAAGCTGAAGATAACAAGAAATAACTAGCTGAAACACAGAAGTAATAAAGAAAAAAGAGACTCTGTAGTCTACCATTTCTTCAAATACTTGAAGGTGTATGTTCTTAGTAATAATTTTAGCTAGAAAACTTAGCACTATCTTCTAATGAGGCACCTCAATGTTATTTCATGAGGCAAGACATTTTCACAATAAATATGCCACAGACAGACACCAGTCACAATGTAGTTTATTAACAAATTTCAACTGTCCAGACTCCACTTGTGTCCTGGCAATGATAATCAAGAGAAAATAAATACAGCCAATTCTGACACTAAAAAGTATATTAAGAAATACTTTCAAAACGTTCTTCTTAAGAAATTTCACAACCAGGATATTCAGATATGCCTAAACACAGGATTGTAAGATGTAAAAAGATAGGCTTTATGTCATCTAATACACACAAGGTGATATTCTGAATGTGTAACTTCACATTAAATTATGTCTTCTAAAATAATAAGCAAATAATTTTGGAATTTTATTTGCAAAGATTTTCCCTATATGAACTTCAGTAATGAAGGAGTTAATTTACTTTGAAGCATAATACATGTCTTCCTTTAAAATGCATCATTTTCTCTTTTGAATTTAGAGTTCTATACCTTAATAAACCCATAAGAGCAAATCTATCTCTGATAATGTTTAGCTAGAACTCTCCACATCCTCTTTTTCTAATACAACATGATTTACATATGTGTTTATTCAATGCATATTTCATTGTCGGTTACTGAATTTACACATAATTAAAATGACTCTTTTACTTCTACTAGACAGTATAATTTTATGGCATGTTATACTATGCCAAATCTCTATGTCATCTACAATAATATTTACTACTTTTAAATTATATTAAAAGGTAAAAGACCCAGAATGAAAAAAAAGCATTATCTGAAGATATTTTCTTTTGCCAATTTGGATAAAAACAACTATCCAAAACAATATATAACATATATACATTGAGCTGAATATCAAATTAGGAACAGCCTTCATCCCTTTTTATTTTACTTTTATTATATAATTAGTACATGCTGTTTTAATTAGAAAACAATCAAACTGTTGATACTAACTGGGTATATAAGCTCAGACATTTTATGAGCATATGACTATATGCTCATATAAAAAACATAATTTTAAAAATAATATTTGTATCAAGTATACATTCTTTTTATAACCCTTTTCACATAAATCATATGCCCCTTACATATGAAATCCAACTTACATGTCTTGTATTTAAAATATTTCTCAAAGTTTAAGTACTGTCAAGTTTTATAATTATTCAAGATAATTATGCATTGCAACACGTTTTAAAAAGAAAAAGAAAAAGCCCAATTCATAGAATTTCTCAAATACTTCAGAAAATAAGCCTATGCTTTTGGCTTGTTTTGGTTTTGGTTTTCATTTAAAATTCCTGACAATAAATATTAGCACAACTAACGAGAGGGACAACAGATTTTAATTAAGTCTTTACATAATATAATGTCTTACAAAGTAGTTTCCAAAGTAACATTGAGAGACATTAACAGTATCACTAAGAAAAAAAATCATGTGCCTTTGCTAAACAGCATTTTGAGACATTTCCTATCATACAGAAATCTCTGATTATTTAAAGAAAAAAATATCCTATTAATATTGTGCCAAGAGAAATACCTGAGAAATCTGGTACATTCTGCTACCAAAGAACTATGTTACAGGGAAAAAAATTAGTCATAAGATACATCTAAGTTGTGTACCTTTAGAAAAAGCATTTGACCTCTTACAAGCTAAATTTCTTCTTTAGTAACAGAGTTACCACTGCCTTCAAATAGTTGTTTAGAGGATTCCACTTTGTTATAATGTAACGGCTTTTTAAAATCGATATTTTTTAGAGCTATTATAAAAATCAAATCTGTTTATTTAGTCCTTAAATGAATCAAACTGTTTCAAACTAAAACATTTTGATTCTTAAATAAAAAACTGCATTTTAGCACACATCCTGGATCCCTGCCCATTTCTTTGAAAAATATATATAAACATATGACCATACTAGAGATCAGATGTCTGCAAAGCACAGCCAAGGGGACAAATCCAACTGGCTGCCTGTCTTTGTAAATCAAGATTTATTAGGACACAGCCAAGCTCGTTATATTATGTATCAGCTATGGCTGCTTTTGCATTACAACACCAGAGCTGAATAGCTATAACAGAAACCCTATAGGCAACAAAACCAAAAATATTTACTATTAGCACTTTACAAAAAAAGGATGCTGACCCTTGCTATAAATTGTTGTAAATTGGACAGCATATCCTAAAGAGATTAGGAGAAGAAAACAAATGAAAGAAATATTAAAATATGCACCTAAATGTAATACGTCATAACACCATCCCAAAATCTTTAAAAAATCTAAACCCAATTGCAATCAAAACTAAATATGAAGCTTTTGCTTACATAAAATTTAAAAATACACAAGGATACTACTAGTTTAGAGTAACAAAGTATATCTTATTACCTCTTAAAATTAATTCAAGCCAATTCTATTTTTAAAAGTACTTATTATATCTGCTTTATACAAATTATGTTTTTACCTGCTAATGGCTTGTTCCTCATCAGTTATTCCAGTCTCCCTGAATGCCCTGTTTGATTCGGCCAAACTCAAGGCAATTGCTCTCTGAAGATCATCTTTATCATCTCCAGTGAGATCAATCACATCTGAAAAGCAAAACTATCTTTCTCAAAATTAAAAGTAAAACAAAATGAAAGGTAATGCTTATATGGAGATTGTATACCCAATAAACTCTTTAAACCAGTCAGTATAAACTGATTTTATGTTTCTAAAAGGCTATCTAAAAATAAATGGAAACACATTTTTAACTGGTTATACTCAGTAACTCAATGTTCTTTTCGATAAAATATACCTAAAGCAGTAAGCAGAAATATATTTCACTGCAAAACAATCTGTGTATTTACTATGAGGTCTCTTATTAAAAGCTAATAAGCAGAAAGACTGCTGAGAACAGTTTAACAATGAAAGTTGCAATCAACACAAACATTTACATTTCTGCTTCTGAGGTTAACCCAATCACATACACATTACATTGTCTGTACTACTACTGTCTAGACATTATCAAATTATAATAATTAACAATGAGCCCTCAAAAATCAATGTTTCAGAAACTGACCACAGATGTATACATTTTTTAAATTCTGGAAGAATGTGCCAAACTATTCACAGTGGTTATCCCTGAGCAAAGGAGTTACAGGAGGAGGAAGTATAAGGATCTTTCACTTTCTATTTAAACACTCTATTCATCTGAATTATTTAATAAGCATGCAATCCTTTTAATTTAAAACAAGATTCTCATTTCACAAAAATGAAGATACAAGTGAATGAAATTAGCCATCTCCTTAAAAAAGATAATAGCCTTGATGCTTTGAGTATTAATTTTTCCCCAAAGAATAAAGGTTACAACTAATACTGCCTTCAAAAAGACTTTTAATCCAATTTCCGAAAATACATTGGTAAATTTCCTTAACCCAGAAGATGCCAATTATAAATATTCCCATTATCATTTAAACAATGATAGAAGCCACAGTATATTGTTAAGTAGGGAAGTGGTAACAGGTTATAAAACAATATGATCAGAAATAGAAACTATCTGTTATTATCTTTGCATGGTTGGGATTATGCTTATTTGTATTTCGGACATGTTTTGCCTTCATTTTACTTATGTGTAATTTAAATTTTCTTTATTTTCTAGAGACAAGGTTTCATTCTGTCACCCAGGCTGGAGGGCAGTGTCATGATCATAGCTCACTGCAATCTCAAACTCCTAAGCTCCAGTGATCCTCCCGCCCTAACCTCCAGAGTAGCTAGGACTACAGGCATGCACCACTTGGCTGATTTTCTTTTTAATCTTTTATAAATAGGAGGTTTTGCTTGTTGCCCAGGCTGGTGTATTTTAGACATGCTAAAAATATTTTATTTTGTAATCATACAATTTTAGAAGAGGAAAAAAAAAAAAAACAGGATAGAGGATGGCAGATAAGGTGTCTTTATTTTACCATCTGGCTAAACAGTTTTATATAGATGCCAGAAAATCATATTATATATTTAATGAAAAAAAGTAATGTATATTGATGGTTTCCAGAGTCTACTTCTATTTTTATCCACACATCCTCCAAACAGTAGCCTGTAAGGAGATTTAAAATATTAAAAAGAATAGCTAATCATGGAAGGAAGTGGTGCTGTTTATTAAAATGTCTTAGAGAATATAATAAAACCTCACAAAAATGTGTTAAGTAGGGCCCCCCAAAAAGTTCAAGCAAGTAAAATGTGAAAGATTTATACAGCACAGAAATTGAAATGGTCAATCACTTTACAGACAACAGCAGGCCAAAGTTTTTGTAAGTATGGCTACAAAATCCAAGTCCACCCAGACCACAGCTAAAGATGAGCGTAACCTGGAACCGGAGAGTTGAGCCTAAATACTGCTGAAGCAGCAGCAAGGACTAAAAAGGTATAAAATGCCTCATAAAAATGAAAGCTATCTGTTATTAAAATGGCCAAAACTTAGATAAGACAGGATAATGAAAAGCGGAAAATCACAGAGAAGCAGAAAAACAGGTTTTAGATATGTGACTGGCAGTCAGATTCCATTATCTCATTCTAAGTTTCCTTTCTTCAACTATAGTAACTAAACAGTTCTTTTAAGAAGGAAACAAAAAAAACTATCTTCTTTATTCCCTGGCAGTTAGGGTTTTGGATGAAATTTAGGCTACATCCATTAGGATGCACTAACATGAGATTTGGAAGGCTAGAAGGTGGGAGGCATTATTCTGCTGCCTTTGGCTGTTTTCTCTAATGTGCTTGAAAAGATTTAAGTTGTTCCACAGCAGTATTGCAGGCTCCAATTTCCAGCTTTAGGAATGTCAAGAGATGGAACAGAAGTGGCAACTAGACTTTGCATTCCAATCTCCAGGCAGAGCTCACTGGCAATTACCTAATCCTGGCTTCCTGTTTCTTGGGCTGCAGCTATGAAGTATGTTCTTGAACTCAGCAGTCCTAGAGGCAGCTTTCCTAATTGTGACAGAAGTAGCAGCTTCCTTGACCAGGCACTCCTGCAATGATGTGGGAGTCATTTCACAAGGCTGAGCTAGAGCTTTCCTCCAGTCCTTCCAGTGATTTTTCAAATAACCTAATCCCTTGTATTAAATTCCTTATTTGAAAACATCTAGAATGTTTACTGTACCATGACAAGTAAAACAAATGGGCTACAGCTGAAACTAATTTAAAAAATAGCAACCACTTACACTTAAAGCTTTTCCTAATTTATCAATTGTAATTCAAGCAACAAAAAGCAAAGGAACAAGATGGGATCCCCTCCTCCAACCTATTTTATAAATGAGATAACTGAAGTTCTGAGAAATGAAGCACATCTTAAGAAGAGAGAATGGTACATAGGCTTCAAAATTTAACTCTAACTCTTAAATCCAAAGTGGTCTTTCTGCCTTCCTAGCAGTTCTTCAAATATAGTCCATTGATCCTTGGGGTCCCCAGGGCCCCTCTGAAAAAAGAGAGGAAGGTCCTTAAATTGAAAATGTAATACTCAGATATTACTTGCCTTTTGTACCGTAGTCACATTTGCACCAATGATGCAAAACAATAGTATAAAACGGCTGCATCTTAGCACAAATGAAGGCAGCAGCACCAAGTTGTGTAATTCACTGTATTAGCCACAAATACGCACACTCACTGCTTTAAAGAGGCCAAGCCAGTTTCTTTTACGTTCTTGAAGAAAAGACTAAACCTAATTTTATTAAATCTCAAACCTTGATTTGTGTTTATTCTAACATAAGAAGTACTTCTGCCCTATATCCAGAATATGCTGTTGCTAAAGAAAATACACTAGTGCAAAATGAGTTACAAGTTATACCGATTTTTTCCATGGAATGCAATTTTTATTTAAAGGAACAAACTACAAACTAGAATTATTGACTTTGGAATTTAGCAGATGTTGTCTTAAAAAAATAAAATGAGCCTGTCGCTTTAAGAAAAACAAATATATTTGTTGACAATGATTAATATAGAACTTTCAAGCAAAAATCTAAACTTTGAAAAATTTGTTTCCTATCACTGTGAGCTTGATATCTTCTCAATACTTAAAGGCTTGTCTATGAGTGGTGATAGTAACAAATGCAACTTTTTCTTATGGTAGCTATTCTTCAAGCATTTAAAGAGAAGTTACCTACAAATTACCAATGCAGTGTTACAAAATCATGCATGACTAAAAGATCCAATCAACAAGCAGGAAACATTAATGGATTTTAATGCAACATAATATAAAAAGGTCATTGATACCACCATAGAATAATGATGTGATTTTGAATTCCACATTGCAACTAATTTTTAAGAAATTACCATTTGTCAAGTTTGGGTATAGCATTAAAAGGAATATCCATTATTGGCCAGGTGCGTTGCGTTAGCCGATGCCTGTAATCCCAGCACTTTGGGAGGCCAAGGCAGGAGGATCACAAGGTCGGAGTTCAAGATTGACCAGCCTGGCCAACATGGTGAAACCCCTTCTCCACTAAAAATACAAAAAATTAGCCAGGTGTGATGGCATGCACCTGTAGTCCCAGCTACTAAGGAGGCTGAGGCAGAAGAATTGCTTAAACCCAGGAGGTGGAGGTTGCAGTGAGCTGAGATCATGTCACTGCACTCCAGCCTGGGTGGCAGAGACTCTGTCTCCAAAAAAAAAACAAAGCGTACCCATTATAATCTGATTGATCAGTTAAAATACTCCTCCTTCTTCTATATTATCTGTGTTAAGCCAGATTTTCTTCACAAACTTCAACCAAAACAACTTAGTACAATAGAATGCAAACCTTCAGAGGCACATTGGAGATGCTAGCTCTCCTCTAACATGACGGACATTCAAGACTTGCAACAATGTAAAGCAATGTACTCTTCTCACCATTTTGTTTCAGAAAATGTATTTTTCATAAAAAGTTATTTTGTAAACATAACAGATTGATATTTTAATATAAATAGCCTAAGTTTTTCTCAGTTTTAATTTCTAATATAGATTACTTTATTTCCAAAAAACTCTGAGTTCCTCAATAATTTTTATGAGTATAAAGGGGTACTGAGAGCAAAACTAACTGTAATCACCATCTACTTTGTGTTCTTAGACATAAATGTTTTTCATGAAACAAATCATATTTGAAAATAGTTTTGTTTTTTACAATGTGATTTTAAAATTTTTGAAGAAATGGCAAAAGAAAAAGATCAGGAGACTGTATGTGTACAATGAGTATTTCTTCCCTCATTCTCTAAGAGAAAAAAAAAATCAGAAGACCTGATTACATGATTTCTGCGTGGCAATAATCATTGTGGCAAAGCTAGAGCAGCAGTAGTCACAGCTCTCTTTAGATAGAATATTCACTCTCCATTTTGCCCCCACCCGCACCTTGGCCAGCCAAACACATTCATATTACCTTCCTTGCCCTTGAATCCTTACATCTTGTACCTTACATGGGTGTAACAGGATAAAGCTGCTTGTGGCAGAATGGCCACACTAAATGGCTCAAGCTACTCCAGCCTCCCCTAGCATCTCCAATAGCTGAGGGGTTCGAATATAGGCACAACTGTACCCTAGCTGGGGATTAAAGCCACCAGTCCCTGGTATAGAGGAATAGTAATCTTTAAT